TCGCTACCCCTTCCTGCTTCTCCACGTAGGAATTAATGATAACGGCCAAGAATGACCTTGAGTGGATTACTGCGGATTACGTAGCGCTGGGAAGAAAGATCCAAGAATTCGGCGCGCAAGAGGTGTTCCCGTCCATCCTCCCTGTTGAAGGGAAAGGAATGGGCAGGGATCGTCGAATTGAGGACGTAAATACGTGGTTGCGCAGGTGGTGTCGCAGAGAGGGCTTTGGTTTCTTAGACCATGGGACTCTGTTCTGGACACATGGATTATTAGGAAGAGGTGGGATCCACCTAATGAAGAGAGGAAGGAGCATCTTCGCAGGCAGGCTTGCAAACCTAGTGAGGAGGGCTTTAAACTAGCTTCGTCGGGGGACAGTGACCAAAACCCTGAGGGGAGTGGGAAAGTCGGATACAGAGAAGAAATGCAGAGAGAAATGAGCAAGAAAGGAGGACCCCTGTTTCGAATGGAGAAGATAGGGCGCTCAACTGGTTACCTGAGGTGTTTGTACACTAATGCGAGAAGCCTGGGCAACAAACCGGAAGAACTGGAGGCCCTGACCCAATCCAAGAAATATGATTTAATTGGGATAACATAAAATTGGTGAGATGACTCGCATGACTGGAGTGCGGTCATGGAAGGGTATAGACTGTTCAGGAAGAACAGGCAGGGAAGAAAAGGAGGAGGAGTTGCACTCTATGTGAGAGAGCACTACGATTGTTCTGAACTCCAGTATAAAGAGGGAGAAAAATCTGTTGAGAGTCTATGGGTTAAGTTTAAAGGAACAAACAACAGCAGTGATGTTGTGGTTGGTGTCTGCTACAGGCCACCGAATCAGGTGGATGAGGTTTTCTTTGGACAAAAGAGCAAAGCTTCCAGATCGCAGGCCCTGGTTCTCGTGGGGGACTTTAATCACCCTGACATCTGTTGGGACACCAGTACAGCAGTACACAGGCTCACAAACAGGGAGGAACTAATAGGGGATGTTAACAAGAAGAAGGTGATCAGAGAGGGTGTGCTTTCTTTGCCTCTGTATTCACGGACAAGGTGGGCTCCCGGACTAATCCGCTAAGTGATGCAAGATGGGATGAAGATGGACAGCCATTGGCGGGTAAAGAACAGGTTAGGAACTATTTAGAAAAGCTAAACGTACACAAATCCATGGGTCCGGACTTAATGCATCCGAGGGCACTGAGGGAGTTAGCAAAAGTCATTGAGGAGCCTTTGGCCATTATCTTTGAAAAGCCTTGGATATCGGGAGAAATCCCGGATGATTGGAAAAGGGCAAATGTAGTGCCCATCTTCAAAAAAGGGAAGAAGGACGATCCAGGGAACTACAGGCCGGTCAGTCTTACCTCGGTTGCTGGAAAAATCATGAAAGGGATCCTTAAGGAATCCATTTTGAGGCACTTGGAAGAGAGGAAAGTGATTAGGAATAGTCAGCATGGATTCACAAAGGGCAAGTCGTGCCTGACCAATCTGATTAGCTTCTATGATGAAGTAACTGGCTCGGTGGACGTGGGAAAGTCAGTGGATGTGATATACCTTGACTTTAGCAAGGCTTTTGATACGGTCTCCCACAATATTCTTGCCAGAAAGTTAAGGGAACGTGGATTGGATAAATGGATGGTAAGATGGATAGAAAGCTGGCTAGAAGGCCAGGCCCAGCGGGTAGTGATCAATGGCTCAATGTCAGGATGGTGGTTGGTTTCTAGTGGAGTGCCCCAAGGTTCGGTTCTAGGACCGGTTTGTTCAATATCTTTATTAATGATCTGGATGAGGGGATTGATTGCACCCTCAGCAAGTTTGTGGATGATACTAAGTTAGGAGGAGAGGTATATACGCTTGAGGGCAGAGATATGGTGCAGAGTGATTTAGACAAATTGGAGGATTGGGCCACAAGAAATCTGATGAGGTTCAATAAGGACAAGTGCTGAGTCCTGCACTTGGGACAGAAGAATCCCAAGCATTGTTACAGGCTGGGGACCAACCAGCTAAGTAGTAGTTCTGCAGAAAAGGACCTGAGGGTTACAGTAGATGAGAAGCTGGATATGAGTCAACAGTGTGCCCTTGTATCCAAGAAGGCTAATGACATATTAGGTTGCATTAAGAGGAGTATTGCCAGCAGATCCAGAGATGTCATTATTCCCCTTTATACGGCTTTGGTGAGGCCACATCTGGAGTATTGTGTCCAGTTCTAGGCCCCTCACTACAAAAAGGATGTGGACGCATTGGAGAGGGTCCAGCGGAGGGCAACAAAAATGATTAGGGGGCTGGAGCACATGACTTATGAGGAGAGGCTGAGAGAGTTGGGTGTGTTTAGTCTGCAAAGCGAAGAGTGAGGGGGGATTTGAGAGCAGCCTTCAACTTCCTGAAGGGAGGTTCATAAGAGGATGGAGAGAGGCTGTTCTCAGTAGTGACGGATGGCAGAACAAGGAGCAATGGTCTCAAGTTATGGTGGGAGAGGTCCAGGTTGGATATTAGGAAAAACTATTTCACTGGGAGGGTAGTGAAGCACTGGAACGGGTTACCTAGGGAAGTAGTGGAGTCTCCATCCCTACAGGTGTTTAAGTCTCGGCTTGACAAAGCCCTGGCTGGGTTGATTTAGTTGGGATTGGTCCTGCCTTGGTCATGGGGCTGGACTTGATAACCTTCTAAGGTCTCTTCCAGCTCTATGGGTCTATGATTTTTTCTCCATCCCCTTGTGGGAGGAGGAACCCCAGGGGTTTCACAGCGACTGCAGATTCTCCCTCCTTCGCCCGTGCCATTGTGGGGAGTGGGGCAGGAAAGGGCACAATTGCATAAATCAGTGCTCCCCCAAGTGGGACACCCGAGCAGCCAATATGCCATGGACTGTACAAAGAGGGAGACACAGTCACTGACCCAAAACACTTACAAAGCAAAAGAGAAATTCCACTCCTGTGTACTCTGGGGCGCTCTTCAGAGGAGTTGCTCTGGACTTCATTGGTCAATGAAACACGTAGCACATGTTTCTTGCCATGCTGGCTACCTGGCCAAGATGGGTTTGCAGAGAAGACAAAAAGGCCTGACCCTTGACCTGCTTCTCCTCCACTGCAGCTGTGCTCCTGACACTTGTATAGCTCCGGAGAGCTCCTTCACGGCCCTGCACAAGGAGCAGTGGCCTGGCAGGTGAGAAGTTCAGGGGGCACATCAGTGGGAGTAAGTGCCCACAGGTTGGACTTTAGTTGCAGGACCAGGAAGGCACAGGGGGCAACCACACAGGGTCAGTTAGATGGGTTTCTTCCCAGCATCAAGCAGGGACTGTGCGCCGGCAGACTCCCTGGCTTTCTTTGCCTCTTGCACATGGTGTCTGAGAATTTAGAAAAGCAGGCAGATTATACACACACCACCAATCCGTTTACTCAGGAGAGACGCATGTAATGAACGGAGTCACTGGATAAACAAGTGCTGTAGGTTTCGGTAAACATGTATCTGAGGCCAAGTCGGCATCTGTAGGCGCTTGCAGAGAAGGTGATCCCCTAGGGCCAGGTCTACACTGGCGCAGAAAATCAATGTGAGAGACGGAACTCCAGCTATGTGAATTGCATAGCTGGTGTCAACGTATCTTGCATCGATTTTCTGGGTCCCCCACAGCAGGCGGTCAAAAGGACAAACTCTCCTGTCGACTTCCCTTACTCCTTGTGACAGTAGTCAACAGGGGCACCTTCAGCATGCAATTTAGCAGGTCTGTACCAGACCCCCTAAATCAAACCCTGGAAGATCAATCGCCGGAGTGTTGATCCTCTGGTAAGTGGAGATGTGGCCTTTGTCAGCCTTTCAAATGCAGCCACCTTTGCAGCCACCACAGCCTCCAAAGCCTGGGAGGAGAGGAGGCATTGCCTCCCAGACTGTGAGAGTTTACCACAGGAGGGACAATAAAGTTTCCACTGCCTCCTGAACTGCTTGACTCAAGCCCCCCCTTACCTTCCACCTCCCCTCCGAGAAGCACTGGTGCCTCCCTGCAGCCCCCAGCCTGGCTCCTTAGCAGCTGTCACCCCTGGTGGTGAGATGCGTTGCTGTGTGGCACTCACAGGGACGGTGCCCTGCGCTGCGCAGCCTCCTCTGGGGGCGCGAGGGGCTGGAGTGCACGGGGCCTGTGGTAGCTCGTCAGTGGTAGCAGCTGCAGCGTTGGGTTGTTGGGATGCTCCTCTGGTCAGCTCCCCCACTCCCGCCTGGCCAGGGACTGTGCAGGCAGCGGGCGAATCCCCGCCCCCCCTTTCCCGGGTCAGCTCTCGCGGCAGGGCAGACGGGTCGGCACTTGGACGTGCAGATGTGTTGGGTTTTCTGACATATTTTAGGACAAATTGCCCAAGCGGCCACCAGCAAGATTCGGTGCCACACTCTGAGGCCTCCAAAATCCCACCCCAAGGCACCCTTCTGGCTCAGGAAGAGCAACAGCTGGGAGGCTGGCCAGCTGGCGGCCATTCCTCCTTCCCCTACAAAGAGGGGTGGGGGACCAAAGGCCCAGGGGCCAGATGTAGCCCCCAAGTTGCCTGGATCCGGCCCCCAGCACTGAGGAGCTTGCGCGGGCATTCCAGCCCCACTGCCACCCCACCATGGGGCTGGAGCACACAGAATCTACTAGCCTGGACCCCCCAGGCTCTGGTGCGTGAGGGGAATGTGGGGAGGGTCTTGCTCCTTCTCAGTCGGGGGCCACATCAGTGAGGGGTTGGGTTTGATTTCTGCGGGTCAATGGCCCCCAACCTAACAACAGTTCCCACCCCTTTCTACAACCTCCTCTGCCCTCCAGGGCTGTCTCATTTCAGACAGGCACCCTCGTCCAACGTGCCCCACAGCCCTGGCATCACGGTCAGTCTAAGGCTATAGCACCTAGATTCTGCCCAGTTGGGGGCCCTCCAGGTAACCTGCCAAGAGGCATATCTAGAGCCCAGGTCTCCTCCAATTTACAGGGGTGGGAAGTGAGAGGAGCCGTGCTCCTTGGTGCGAGGGGAAAGTGCATGTGCAACACAGCCTCTGCTCACCTCCTCCCACTGGTGGATGTAGCGGATGAGCCGGGAGAGCCGCAGCAGGCGCAGGAGGCTGAGGATTTTGGTGAAGCGCACGATGCGCAGAGCCCGGGCTGTCTTGTAAACCTCTGAGTCGATCCGGGTCTCCACAATGAGGAATATGTAGTCCACAGGGATGGAGGAGATAAAATCCACCACAAACCAGCTCTTCAGATACTTCATCTTAATTCGCTGGGGGTCCAGGATGATCTCGGTGTTGTCCTCCACCACGATGCCTGTCCGGAAGTTGAGGACCAGGTCGATGAGGAAGAAGGTGTCTGAGACCACATTGAAAACAATCCATGGGGTGGTGTTCTCATCCTTGAAGAAAGTGATGCCCACAGGGATAATGATGAGGTTTCCAACCATCAGGAGCAACATGGTCAGATCCCAATAGAACCTAGGCAGGGAGACAGACAGGAGATCAGCCAAAGGAAGTGACCGGGTCACCTGCTTTATAAACATCTGCTGTTATTAGCTCCTCCCACCCAGCCACCTGTCAGCAGTATGTCTAGGGGGCTGACAGAATTGCTGGACCCCTGGCCAAGGTGCAGGGGAGCTCAGTTTTCACCTCAGCCTTCAGCACCCCCTGGACCTCGCCGTGCCCACCACTCGCCAGCCTTCAGCACCCCCTGGACCTCGCCGTGCCCACCACTCGCCAGCCTTCAGCACCCCCTGGACCTCGCCGTGCCCACCACTCGCCAGCCTTCAGCACCCCCTGGACCTCGCCGTGCCCACCACTCGCCAGCCTTCAGCACCCCCTGGACCTCGCCGTGCCCACCACTCGCCAGCCTTCAGCACCCCCTGGACCTCGCCGTGCCCACCACTCGCCAGCCTTCAGCGCCCCCTGGACCTCGCCGTGCTTGCCACTCGCCAGCCTTTAGCGCCCCCTGGAACTCGCCATGCCCTACACTCGCCAGCCTTCAGCACCACATGGAGCATCCACCCAGTGCTCTGGCAGCAATTTAAAAAGCCCAGGGCTCCAGCTAGTGCCACTGCCGTAGTAGCAGTGGCCAGGAGCCCTGGGCCCTTTTAAATCACCGGCCGGGCACAGTTGCCCCCCACTGGCAGGCTTGTCTAGGGCACACCAGTGACTACAGCAGTTAGGCACTTTACCTAAAGGGGGATGCCAGGGTAGGAGGATGGCGTGGGGGTGTCCATGTGTAAATCCCAACCACGGCTTCGGAATAACCCAAGAGACAGACATCTACATGGCTGACAGGAGCCACCGCCGTTCCAGCAATAAACAGCCACGGGGAAGGCTGAGGGAAGGGATGCAAACTCTCCCCCTACAGGCATAAGCCGCCTGCCGCCCTTTGGGAGTCAGGGGGCAAGTCGTGCTTCAGGAACCTCTCTCAGAACTGCCTACTGTGAGCTCCTTGTGCTGCCTCTGAAGCAGGGGTACCGACCATGATGGGAAACAGACGGAGCTTGTGTGACCAGGGCAGCAAGAATCCCCAAGAATTCAGCTTTGGTTTCACGCTGTGTGGGGAGACTGGACTTGGGGAGTTTAGTCCGTGCTCCGTGGATGCCCATGCGGTGCAGGAACGATCAATACAGCATACAGGTGCGTGCCTCAGGGTACATAGTTCACTGTCCAAGTAACCAAAGGAAACATTTCGCTGCTGTCCCCTCAAACCAGCCTCTGATACTCTGGTCTTTTCTTTATTGGTCGATCAATATTCTTGGAAGGGCTCTCAGAAGAGCATTCGTTTTATTTTTGGAAAGCACTGTGTGTCTGAGCATAATCCCCAATGTTATAACCCACTCACTGGTTTTTTTACCAGGCATTAGTATAATAGATAAATGGTCACACGATGCTGCAGCAGCAGCTAATCCAGACCAAGACCGACAGAAAATCTCGCTAGTTCTCACTTTGCGGAGGAGTCTCACGAATAACCCAGTGGCCTCACTCCAATCCTCAACAGACACTTAACTAATGGAGATATCAATATAATGTGGCCTCATTTTCACCAAGACTGCATGATTGCCACACAATGCACTACGTGGTACTTACTGCTATGTTAAGAAGCAGCATAAATAATTAAAATTAAGATGCACTTGTCAAAGTAAATGAACGAAGTGCACAGGGCAAAGGCAACTCGTGGCTTTGTTTGCATATTCACATAGTCACAAGATATTTTATTTATTATTCTTCATTTCTTGTGCACCCAATGTGTTCTCTGCCGTGGAGAGTACAAAGAGGAAGGCAAGGTCATAGTGCTAAAAGACCTACAAGGTAAAAGAGAAATTCCACTCCTTCTGACACCAGGGCACTCTTCAGTGGAGTTGCTTTGGATTTTCACTGGTGTGACCAAGCACAGAGTTTGGACAGTGAAAGAGACTTAGCACACGTTCCTTGGCAAACTGGCTGCTTAGCCAAGATGGATTTGCATCAACCAGACTCAGACTTTGGGATGCTCAGAATGTAGCTCCAGGGAGGAATTTTACACCTTGAGCCTGTATTGCTGCTAGATTCTCAGCTGGTATACAACAGGCTAGCTCTAGCAAGTTCAACGGAGCTACACCCATTGGTGCCAGCTGGGGAGCTGACCCCTCATCTTTAGGTTGTGAAGTTCTCAACAACCAACACAAGACCAATGAACACTGCACTCCCCAAACGTAAGTATATTGTGTAATTGTAAGAGACACACACACAACCATCACAGACACAGGGAGACAGGTGCACAAGTGCACTGGCCTAACTCTGGTCTCACAGAAGCCTATAGACTCCAGTGGGAGCAAAGACAGGCCAGCAGCGAGTGCCTCTGAGAATCCCATCGGCTGACTTTAGCTTGCTCTTTGCTGCATAGGCAACTGCCTGCCTCGCACGTCAGCACAGTAACGGATGCTGGGAGCTAAACAATGCAATGAGTTTGCATGCATGGGTGGTGGGTACTGCAGGAAAGGGAAAGCACAGCCTTCCCAAACTGCCTACATGCCTGGCTAACTACAGCTGGGGCCGCAGCCCGGCTCCCCAGCCACCAGAGAGGGATAGGGCAGTGGTGCAGCAGCCCTGCTCCTTGGACACCGGGGATAGCCGGGGCCGCAGTATGGCAGCTCCGGCACTCCCGGTGGCCAGGAAGGATCAGGCTTGAGGTGGGAAGGGCTTGGCTCCGGGGCGGGAGCGGCTCAGGTGGAAGGGGCGGGGCTGAGGCTTGCCTTCCTCAACTGAGAATTCTCCCACCGCCCATGTCTGCGTGTCTAAGACTGCCATCACGCCACATGGTGATACATGCTGGTGCTGTGCAAATCCAAGCTGCAGACTTGTTAATAAGGGCCTGAGATGATGCCAATGCAGCTTTCCATTCAAATTATCCAGGTAACACAACTGCAGGCCGTCTGGGAGAACTGGTCTGTGTTTTCCCAAGAGAAACATCCCTTCAGGTATCTTTAATCTAACTGCTAGAATGCAGCGGAAGACGCACACACAGAAGAAGCGCATTATCCCTCCCCAAGTTTCAAAGGAAGCGGATGAAAGCTAAAGCAGCAGGCAGCCCTGCATATGCATAAAGGCGACAGCTACTTTCTTCAGAGACCTTTTGATTTCTGTGCCTGCCTTTCACAACACCCGCAGGTGATTTTAAGGTCCAACAGAGTGAGAAACCAACGGCATTGGCTACCTAATCAGTGTAGGTCACAGGAAACCTCCCACAATGGCTCTGCCAGATCCCGAGTCCTCACCACGGCAGTCTCTGCCGCTCCAGTCCAGGGTCCCGCCAGCTCCGCCAACACTCCTCAGCTCTGACCTGATCCACGGCCATGCTGCTGACAACAGAGTGTGGAGTTTGAGTTCTGCATGCGCACGCCCACAGGCAGACAAGCAGAGATTCGTTCCTGTGCGTTCCTGAGAGTGGAGGTTCAGCCCAGGTTTGGGGAAGCAAGTCAAGGCAAATGCCATCAAATCCTCTTGCTCCTGGCATTTCGAGGGCATCGCATATGGAAGACAATGAGCATCCAATGCACTTTGTGATGGGTGCTGTGACCTCACCCTATCACAGGGTGGCAGAGCAAATTCCACCTTTGGCCTCTATGAAGACACCAGCTGATGTTGAAAAGCTGCAGGATTTTGGCCCAGACCCCTTCCCATGCTGCAAAAGGAGATTCCTAGTGGGATTTGCTGACCAGAATTCCTAGAAGTCATAAATGCAGCAATACGGAAACCACATCCACATACATTTTATATCTAGGTCAAGTGCAACAGACTTAGTGACGGACCATTAATTTAGTGCCAGAGGCTGCTCAGTGACCACAGCACCCTCCGGTCAGACAGCACCATCATGTCATTTTAAACTCACAGTAAGAAGCCTCTTTTGCCCTTTCTAAGTGATTGACTGAGATGAATAAAAACGCATGTGATGTGCGTGTGGCAGGTTCCCTGGGGTGCAGTCTGGGACTGACGGACCGTTCGGCCCCCTTAACTCTCCAGCCAGGGCTGTCTCACAATGCTGGTGACAAGCAGCAAAGCCCTCCAGGCACTGAGAGCAATCAACACAACTGCATGTGGAGCCCCTCGCCCAGACAGCACAAATGCTCTCAGAGAAATCAGACCGAGAAAGATGTCAGCCAAATCCCTCCAGCTCCCCGCCTGGCACCCCATGAAAACACCATCTTGCACGGCTCAGGACAGGCAGGGCAAGTGCATTAACTGGGTCACCACTTCATCAATGGAAAGTGGACATCCGTGAGCTTTCGTAACTCTGAGCAGACCTGCCAGGCGCTTCCGGCAAATTCACTGCTAAGGATAAAGAGCAGAGCACGTTTATTTGACTCCAGAAGAGTTGAAGAGATTATAAGTGTGACAGCGCGTTGGGGGTCCCCCGTCTCCTGCACCCCCGAAATGGCACAAACAGACTCCACCAGCCAGTAGAATAGAGGTGGTTTATTGCTTCCCCAGTATACAGCACAGCACAGATGTTATCAGGTTACAGGGCAGGCCTAGGATGCCTCAGCCCCCCTTGACATGGGGCAGGGGTCTCGGCTTCTAACCCCCCCAGCCTTTGCTGAGGCTGCTTCCTCCATGCTCCCAGATAGAAAACTAACTCACTCTCCTCCAGCCCTGCCCCCCAGCCAGGGCAGCATCCACCTTCCTTTGTTCCTTTCCATGGGGGATGGCTGGTCAAACAGGTTGAGACACCCTTTGCATAATGACTCATCCTGTTTTGCTGGGCCGTGGTACCAACTGCAGCCAATGAGGGTTACCTCAGAGCCAGCAGCATAGAAACCAGCCAGGTACCCCCACTACGTCACAACGTCACAATAAGTGATAGGCAAATAGCCAGAGTTAATCACCCCCGGGGGCACGTCTAAACTAAACCTCATTTTTTGAGGAATACAGAATCTGTCGAAAAAAGTTTTATTTTTGACAGATCTGCGTCTAGACTGCCATTTTTTTTAAAA